TATTTACAGATCAGTATAGTGCTTTGCTAGCACCTTCAGTGCTCTTGTTTTGCAGGTGACACGAGGCAGTAGGCCTAGTCAGCACCCCACCTCAGACCCGCAGCTACCGGAGTTCCTCGTGAACTCCCGTATTCGCTTGGGAGGTGGGCATTGGATTACCGTCCTTCGCTTAGGCAAGTTCGGCGGTAAGGAAGTGTCCCACACATAACTCGATCCCTCTGTGGTACTGGAGAATGCAACCAGGCTTCCACTGAGGGGGTAGAGGACATAAAACTGCCTTACTCTCTTAGCTATTGCTGTTAGGTTGATACCAAAAGTTAAGAATTTTTGATCACTTCAGGACAACATTTATGAGACAAGGGGTAGGACCTGGTCCGATACTCAGAATGAGTGATACCCCGGCTACCCCTTCTCCTCCTCAAGGAGAAGGGGCAACTCATGACCCTCCTAAGACCAATCTGACCACAAATAATGGAAACCTCACTAACGACAAAATGAGACGACCACTTTTGAAATTCCCAACTGAGAATGCGAGGTTCGCGAATGTAAAATGCGTGAATGAAAATCAATCGCTTCTGAACGTTAACCCATTTATCATCAAAAAGGTCCTTGATGGTCAAGTGGACGGCGATTTTGATTTTGTCAAAAAAATGCGAGATGGAAGCCTCCTTGCTAAAGTACAATACAACTCCCAGATTAAGGATTTACTTAAGCTGACGCAAATTCATGATCTTCGAGTTAAAGTAACTATTCCTATTGGCCCAAATACCTGTAAGGGAGTAATCTTTCATAGGGATTTGAGGACGATGGAAGAAAGTGAAATTCTCGAGAGCATGAAGGACCAAGACGTAGTGGACGTTCAATTGTATGACCAAGAAGGACGGGAATATGCGAACGAAAACTGGACTGTGTTTTTTTACCTTTGCCCTGAATAAAATCCCTGAATATGTCAATGTCGGTTATGAGCGTGTTCAAGTAAGACAATGCATTGTAATAGATGCCAAAAATTCGGACACACCTCTCAGTAAGATGTATTGATAAAGACTACTAAATTCACTTGCCGTAAATGTGCTGAAGCCCATGACACCATCATATGTACTAGCCAGATTTACAAATGTGCCAACTGTGGAGGTCCCCATTAGTCAGGATCTGCCGAGTGCAGCATCCTGAAGAAGGAGACTGTGACATTAGCATATATGAGAAAACATGAAGTTAGTTATACTGAAGCTAAGAGGAAAGTTGAAAGTTTGACACACAATCCCAATACTTCCTATGCTGCAGCAGTAACTGACAACACCCACAGTACAAGTGATGTCAGTCAACTGCTTGCAGATAAGGATAAGGAAATTGCTTAACTCAAACAAACTGTCAAAGAATTGAATAT